AGCTTTGTCTTTAGGTGAGGTGACAAAGTCTGAACCTTACAAAAGAGGTGGAATTACAGACTTGCCCTTATTATTGATACTATTAAAGATTCTCCATAAGTCACGAGAGCCTAATTTTTGTGATGAAATACGAGATTTCATGATCTGAGAATAGTGGGTTTTGGCGTTAGACAAAACCTTTTTACAATGGTTCCTAGCAGTAATAAAGAGACGTCTGTTTTCTGGAGAATTGTTTTGCTGATAGATATGGAAGTAATGGTTTCGATTGGCAATTGCAGCAGCACAATGTGAGGAAAACCATGGAGAAGAGTGAGGCTTGACCTGGAATTGTCGAGAGGGAATAAAAGATTCCATGCCAGCTTGAATCCACGAAGTTATGTAAGAAGCACATTTGTCAACAGGGAGACGAAAGATTTCTACCCAGGGGCCATCACGAAGAAAGTCACGAAAAGAGTCCCAGTCAGCTTTAAGGTAGTTGTAAGATGTATGATGATAGGGGGATTCTAATGGTAAAGAAGAATGAGATAATAGTTTTAGAGAGACCAAACCATGATCGGACACACCTAAGGGTGAGTGTGAAAAAACTGAACACTGACTAGAATCAGAAACAAGACATAAGTCGAGTAGAGAAGGTAAATGATTCGGGTTGTCTGGAAAGCGAGTTGGAAAGTTGACTATTTGAGTTAGGGATTGAGAAAGACAAAAGTTGTGGGCCTTAATGCCTGCAGAGTCACTGACACTAGAGCCAAGTCATTCAGTGTAATGAACATTAAAGTCACCGACAACAACAATATTGGCTGATGGATAAAGAATGAGGGCTTGGTCAATGAGGGAGAGCGATATAGAACAAAGAGAAAGGTGATAGAGTGAAGTGGTGCTAAACGAAAGCACATAAAAGAGTAGTCTGTGGATTCAAACCAAGTTTCCCGACAAATGGGTGAATTCTTACGAATGTAAATGCCCAGGCCAAGCATGTGACTATTGGAGTCTTTACGAATTAAAGGAAGATAACCATCAACACTAAGATCACAAGATGAGACAGCTGAACTCAAATTAGTCTCACAAAGAGCAAGCAGGTCTGGTGAACTTTGCAAGAGATAAGACTCAACAGTAGAAAAGTTACTTCGAAGACCACGAACATTGGTGAATGATAGGTTTAGCGAACTTGGTGATGACTGTGGTTTTTTGTGTTTTATAGTTTTTGTTACTTTATTAACTTTTAAATTTGTTAAAGAACTTGACTCGAAACATTGATAGTACTCAGTACACTGTTCTATAGCTCAAGCAATTGCCTCATTTCCACTAATAAACCCTAAGCTGTAACAAAGGGCTCCAATGTGGCCTTGGCAATGCACACCAAAAGTACAAACAGGGAAACCATCCATGCGCAACATGGCACTGTTAGTACTCTGATATTTTTCAGCTGTTGATGGAATCAGCCTCTCTGAGAGCTACCACAGAGTTCGGGAAACCTGACTACCAGCCGGCCTCAGAACCATAAAACTGAGTTTAAGAGTTGTACCCTCATTTGGAGATAATAGAATGAGTTGCCTGGTCATAAAAACAGAGACACAAGCAAAACCCATGAATCGAGTCAAGAAGATCCAGCGTTCAACATCCTAAACTGGAAACAATGTATTAAAAATACATCTGCGCCAGCCTAATAGATGACGAAGGGGTGCGAGGCTGGTCAACAGATAGAATCTGTTTATACCTTAAGACTTTGCCTAGGAGGCCTTCTACAAGACAGCAGCCGGATGCATGTAACATCTGCCCAAGATGAGTATTTTTATCGAGACACCATCTCTAGCCTTTACTCAACCAAGAGCCCCAAGGCAGGGGGTGTTTTATGTCGGAGTTTGCATCTCCTAGCCTTTGCCTAAAAAGGCATATCCTACAAGGCAGCAGGACATGAAGCAGATTGTACTGGGTTACATGTTACCAGTAGCAGTATAAACCTGACCTGACTGACTTATTATTGTTCAGTAATAATTATACGGGTCATGGTAAGTCAGTTATTCCACATATTCAAGTCATCTCATGTTTTTTGAAACTTTTTATACCAATGGTATTTAATTAACACATTTCAAGCGGGTGTTCTAAATATTATTTAGACTGGTACTGATATCCAATTCGTTGATAAATAGCTATTCGCGCAACATCAACTGAAACATTAAAAGTTTTTTAAAGTTAAATATAATAGAAAATTTATTTTATAGCTTTAAAAAGTAATTAATAAGTATTGTTATCATATATGTATTTAATTATTTTTCTACCTCTTACTAAAATATATTGAAGTAAGAAATAAGTATAGAAAAGTTTAGTGTGGAATAGATTTACCAAGATCCATATTTTAAGGGTCAATGCAGCTAGTTCTATTTATTTACTTTGTTTTATTTTATATGCATTTTATGTTATTAATGTTATAAACTGCAACAGCAATAAAACTGTGTCACGAAGTTGTTTTATATTAAACTGTAACAGCAATAAAACTGCGTCACAAATTTGTTTTATATTAACACAAGCTTACTATATTGACAAAAGAACTTTGCAGTACTGTTTTGTTGTTTTATAGCTTTTTACAATATAATACTCTTTAAAAATAAAACATGTTTTATTGTTAGCATGTACGTGTTAAATAGTTTTCTATAACTAATTAGAGTGGTTTAAATATTGTAAAACTTGCGTTTTAATTTTTACTTTTTTAAGTATCATATAAAATATAAGTAAAAACAATAAGTATATAACAAATACTAAAAGTAAAATTGTAATAGTATTAAATACGTTACTTGCTCATTACATTATAACTGTAACTTAAACTTTAAATTATAACTTAAGCTATAAATTATAACATTAATTTATGCTATTTTTAACTCAGCCAAACTAGACTATTATAAGATTTATGTTAAAAAAAAAAATTGCAAACTCATGTACAAAAGATACAATTTTAAACTAAAGCAGGCAAAAATAGTTAAAAAAAGAGCGCAGATTTAATTGCAAATGTTTTTGATTACATTAGACTAACTGATAAATGTAAAATTATTACACTCTAAATTATATCAATAAAATATAAAATTATTTCTAATCAAATTGACCAAGCCCTTTCTCTTTATCCTTGAGCCAATATTGTTAATGTTGGTGACTTGAACGCTCATCACACTGAATAGCTAGGCTCTAGTGTCAGTGACTCTGCAGGTATTAAGACCCACAACATTTGCCTTTCTCAATCTCTAGCGCAAATAGTCAATTTTCCAACTTGCTTTTCAGACAATCCGAATCATTTACCTTCTCTACTCGAGTTAAGTCTTGTTTCTGATCTTAGTCAGTGCTCAGTTTTTTTACATTCCTTAGGTGGAATGTAAAAAATTCTTGGATTCAGGCTGGCATGGAATCTTTTATTCCCTCTCAACAATTCCAAGTCAAACTTCTCTCTTCACCATAGTTTTCCTCTCATCCTGGTGCTACGATTTCCAATTGTAACCATTACTTTCATATCTATCACCAAAACATTTCTTCTGAAAACAAACCTCTGTTTACTATTGCTAGAAACCATTGTAAAAAGCTTTTGTCTAACGCCAAAGCCCTCAATTCTCAGGTCACAAAATCTCATATTTCATCTCAAAAATTAGGCTCTCATGATGTCTGGAGAATTTTTAACAGTGTCTATAATAAGGGCTAATCTTCAGATTTCGTTACCTCACCTAAATACAAAGCTGAATTAACTGCAAAGAACTTTATCATAATACTATAACTCTACCTGATAAATTATTATACTATAATTCTAACTGATAAACAGGTTAACCCATTGCTTGACCTTCATATCATTCCAGCTTTTGTATCTAAAGTGTTTCCTGCTAAGACTCCTCAACAATTTGTGGTCCAGACAACATACCTGTTATAGTCTTGCAGAAGCGTTCTTCAGAGGTTCCTCAAATTTCTATCCTTGGCCTTATACTTTTTTAATATATATTAACGATCTCTCAGAAATTCTCACATCTAAGGTGGTATTGTTTGCTGATGATACTATCATTTATTATTGTCTTGATAAGAAGCCAACACTCTCTGATTGCTTAGAGGAGACATTTGAGCTTGATATGGATCTCACTTCTGCTACAACGAGAAGCTCTCAGTAGCTGGTGAACTTTAACTCAAACAAAACTCAACTTTTTTCAGCTGATTGTTATCGCAATAATCTAGATCTTCCTATATTTATAAACGATAATGTACTCAATGAGTCATCTATCCTTCATCTTCTAGGATTAACCCTTACTTCCAATCTTTCTTGGAAACCATATATTAAAAATATTTCAAAATTAGCATCTACTAAGGTTGCATCTTTTTATTGTGCTCGCCACATTTATTTAAAATTCTATTCTTTATAAATCTCAAATCTGTCCTTGTATGGATATGGCACTGATGCCATATCTGGGTCGGATCTTCCAATGATGCCCTTTCACTTTTAGACAAAGTGCAAAAAGGCATTTAAACATAGTTGGACATGTTCTTGCAGCCAACCTCCGACAATTATCACATCGTTGTAATGTTGCTTTTCTTTTTCTTTTCTATAAATACTATAATGGGCACTGCCCTAAAGAGCTAACTAACATTACTTGTCAAATAAGTAATATAATTAAAAAAATGGATAGCTAATGTGAAAACCTAAAGACAACGCTTGTCTGAAGAATTTTTTCATAGTGCAATAAATGATACTTGTTATAAATATATTCTTATAACATTAATGTTACAACATGCTTGTAACAAGTATAAAACCAAAAGTTTGTATTTATAAAGCAATTTTTTAAATAAATAAACAGATAGCTTAAGCAAAAACTAAAAGCTCTATTAAAAAGGTGTTTAGAGGAGCAGCTTGCATGGCTCACCATGTTTTTTTGCAACTAGATGTGATAAATCAAGATGACCTGACGCATGCTTTGTACTCATAATTAAATACTAACAAAAGTTGACTAATGTTACAAAATTATTTTATACAAAAAAAATACCTTTTTTTGATTAAACCGTCTGGTTGACATAAATTCTAAAAAAAATTAATAACTTTCTTTTGTAATTAAATAACAGTTTTATTAACTATTATTATTAAAAAAAACTATTATAATATAAAAATAAATATATAAAATAATGTTATAATATTAGGTTTCCAAAAGAATAAGAAAGTAAAGAGTTTTTTAAAAGATAAAAAATATAATTTTATTTTAAAAGAGATTTTTTTTTACATAGTGCAACATATATTTTTAAAAAATTTCAATTTCTTTTTTCTTTTAGATGTAAAATCAGTAAATTCATGTATTTAAGAAGAAAATAAAATACCGGTGATGTTTCCTCATGATGGGAGTGATTCTCCTTATAATTTAACCATGATGGACAAAACTCTAGAAGAGGTTTCATTAGTTCCTCGTCCAAAAAGTCTGCACTAAATTTAAAATAATTTTGAAAAAATATGATTACTCTAACAAATCACATTAAACTGTAAACCACACTTACATGAATAAGAAAATTGTATTTAAAAAAATAATTTACATTTGATAAAACAAGTTAATAAAATAAATAGTTTATTGACTATGTATATAAACATTGTATAAATTATAGTTGCAAAGGTTACAGAAAATCAATTACAATATTTAAACAATATGTAATAAAAAAAACCTCATCATCCCACCCTAACCCACAACTCTCTATATCAGCACCCATCAAATATCTCTTTTAAAAAGAAATTAACAACAATACATGTAATGATCTTTATCAAACTTTTCAGCGTCTGCTAACTTTCTTAGTCTTTGCCTATCTGAAGGTGTTGTCTCGTCAGGAGAGTCCAGATCAATAACTTCAGACATTTCACCCTATAATACATGAAATATATTTTTTAAATGTACTTTTAGAACCCTAAAAATATATAGATATAATATAAATAAATAAAAATTTATGTTTTAAGTACTAAAAAAATAAAAGAAAGAAAAAGTAAGCAGGAACAAAACAAGGAATTTAAAAACCTTAAAACTTGAGAATAAGCCATAATATTTATTGCCGAAACCATATTTGTATTGAAAGCATTTATCTGATGCCTAAAGCAAAAAAGATTTATCAAATCAAAAAAGATTATCATGATAAACTTTCAAATAATACCCAAGATATCTCTTTTTACTTGCAACTTGTATACCAATCGAATTATATATAATACTAATTATATATAATTATATATAATACCAAAGAGATCTTGTATAAAACTTTAAAATTGTATTTCTCACAGATTCAGAATTTAATGTTTGTTCTATCTCCCAAGTGAATTCATCATCTGGATCATCCACATCATTATCATTCACATCACCATTCTGATTGTTATTTGAATTTTCTGAAAACAGTATATAAAAACAATAACAAAAACAAATTTAATTATTTAATAATCTAAATTATTGTTAAATAAAATTATTAATAGAAAAAATGAACAATAATAAAAAAATCAATAAAACAAAATCTCAAAAATTTTTATAAATTATTTAAAAGATTTTTATTTTCCAATAGTCTTTTTTATTTAAATTTTTTTTAATTGAAAAAGATATATTGGTTTTTGCAAAAACTTTTTTTAAACTTCACTAATTAATATCTTACAAATAAAATGAAAATGCTTATATGCATTGTTAACATTTTTGGCATTTGTTACAATCTTTATTTATTTTGTGCTGATCATATTTATTTGTACATGAGTAAAAACACTACAGTTATAATATTGCGTTTATGTTATGAAAAAAGTAAAAATATATAAAAAAAAAGTTACCATCAGCTAAAACCTCGACCAGAGGTTTATTTGTTTGTTTCTTCTTGTTAGCCAAAAGTAAAGTTAACATTTCAAGATTTGGAAAAAATTCTCCACTTTGTAGCTTTGGTATATTAATTGTAAAAACACCTGAAAAATTAACTAACAACAATTTTTACTCTTCTTTTTAACATGTGTTTAAAATTGAAATAATAAAAAAAGAAATCTAATAAAGTAAAATAATAAAAATTACAAAAAACTAAAAAAAAAAATTTCTTAAAAATAAAAATATAACAAAAATGATAGAAATAATATAATCTATAATAATAAATTTTTGTGGTTTTTTTAAACACAACTAAATCTAATTAGTTTCTTTAACTATTTAAAATAATTTTGTTTGTGTTAACAAAATTTAATGACTTATATTCTTCTGTAAATTTTTAACCTTTAATCCAGAGTGTACATTATCTGGTGATTCAAAGACTCCAATAATTTTACTGTCATAAGAAATATATGCATAAAGAAAAAAATCATGCCTTTTTTTTTCCTTTTTTTTAAATCTAATTCACTCCTGACAAGGCTTCAAGCAACCACCATAAAGTTAGGAGTTACTAGAAAACAAAGAGTTGAAAAGCAAGGAAATGGTTAACAGAAGACTTAAATAATTGAAATTTGTATGAGCCAGAAAAATATGAAGAGGCATTGAAGTGCAAGGAAAAAACCAGATGAATACAAAATTTTAGAGCTTTAAAGGACATGTAAAGTAAAAGGATACCAAATCACAAATCAAGCAAAAATGAGTTTTGTTTGACAGAACTAAAGATGATAGCTCCTTTTATAGTAGCAACCATAATAATATTTGTAGAAAAGAAAAAAAGATGCAACCTTAAAATGATAAGAGAGGAGATCAAGCTTAGGAGATAAAGCAGGTCCAACTATGTTTAAAATGCATTTTAGGAACTTGTCTAGAAGAACCTGCCTAAATATGATAACAGTATTCAATATAAGGACAAATAAGAGATTTGTAGAAAATAAAATCAGGAGTAAAATAATGCCAAGCACAATAAAAAGAAGCAAACTTATGCTTGCCATCAATTGTATATATGGTTTCTATGAGAGGTTAGTAGTGAATAATAATCCAAGACACAAAAAATAAGACTCAGTGAGAGTGTTACCATTCATTAATATAATTAATGCAGTAAATAACTTAGTTTTGTTGAAGTTAAAATTTATAGGCTACTGCAGGCTTCAAGCTGTTAAAGAAGAGAGATCAGATTCAAGATCAACTGCCTGTTCTAAGTGATCAAAAAAAGAAGATTTTTTGTCAAGACATGTATGAGGTAACTCAACTTTATGCTTTTTAGGAAATAGAGCCATTTTAGATGTAAGATTGTCAGGAAGATCAATAATGTAGATAAGAAACAATACAGGACCAAGGATAGAATTTTGATATACCGCAGAAGTTATTGAAAATAAAGAAAAGTGTTACTCTTCAAGAACCACTTTAATACAGCAGTTAAAATAAAATGATTTGACAATCTTAAAAAAATATTCACAAATATATCAGTATATTAAAAACCTTTGACATGCCAAAAAGCGATAGCCCTTGGTTTGCTGTTTTCCTATAATGAACGATAGAACCTTTTTATTAAAAACAGCTTAAAAATCAGTTGCAGAAAGAAAGGATTGGATACACATTAAATGCCATAGAGTAAGACAGGTGTAGTTAGAGGGGTCAGAAAGTTAATATTTTATAAAAAATTTAGAAACAAAGCCATTATGTCACTGGGCAGGCACACAATATTCAGTTTAGCACTTATTACATAGTTTATAGAGTATTGAAGAAAGTTCTGGACTTTTGTGAGACTATGACAGAAATGATGTCTGGACTACAAATCATAAAGGAGTTTAATTGAGACTGACAGAGGCTGCAGTGATTTGGATAACTAAAAATGGGTTGCCCTGTTTAACTTGAATGGCAAGAAGAGTATGGCCATTAGATTTTTTAGAGTATGGAGTATGGCCAGTCTAACAAAAAACAAGAAAATCTGGTGAATTTTGCAAGAAGATTCAGCTAATGAATGTTACTTTGAAGAACACAAATATTTTTAAAAGATCAAAATAGTTAGGTAGTGGTGATGGTTTATGTTTAAAATTATTAGATTACTTTGGACATCTTTGAGTTAAAGAGAATTCGACTCATTAATCCCAAGCAATAAACTATGCAATTGCCGCAGTCCTATTAATTTACTTGAAGTCAAACATACATATAGAAACTTATGGGCGGATGAACACAGCGCTAGAGGTTCAGACAAACATACATAAGTAGTAAATTAAGGGTGGGCTAACACAGTAACTAAGACACCTGTAACTATATAACAGACAAAAATAGATCATTAACATATAAAATGAAAAGGAGAGGGTTAAGGATGGATCCCTAAGAATGCCACTGGGGAGACATTTTTTTATTCAGATTTATATTGACCAATAGTAAATCTTTGTGTGTGCTCAGATAACCACCTACTTGAGGTAAAATTCTTTTCAACCCCATATGCTTTGAGCTTAATAAGTAGTTGTTTATGGGGAACCTTATTAAATGGTTTGAAGATTACAAATGATTATAAATGAGACTACGAAACATGTGAATGAGACCAAGTAAAAAAAAGTTTAGTGATTTATTTGGCCTTAATTATTTTATGTTTTGTTTAACTGAATCAGGTGTAATATACACATGTGATATACACGCTGAGCATATGCATGGCTTCAACTTTGATAGTTTACCAGTTGGTTCATTTTCAAAGAAAAAGTAAATGTAGTTATTTAGTGGTTTTTTTAAGTTTGATCCCCATAATGCCCTGGTACCTAATACCTCATTCAACTTGCTTTTATTTTTTTGCAGCAGCTTTTTTCATCAAGGTTCGTGAGTCAAAGAGTTGAGAGAGGCTTGTAACCACAATAAATAACATTAAACATTTTTTTGCTTATATATAAAAATTCAAATATACTCTATAAAAATAGAGTCTAAAAGTTCTTAAAAAAAAAAGTGCAATAATAAATTAGTAGCAATCATTTATCAATATTTTTTTATTTTACACAATGTTTTGCTAATATGTTATTATTTATGTTAATATTTATGTTAATACTTAATGACTTCAACTTATACAAAAAATAACTCATGTGTATTTTGATAACCTGGTGTCTTAAATTTTTGTTATTTTTTAATTAAAAATGTTGTTTTTGTAAATCAATGCATTATTAAATTTGTAGTTAATATTCATTATCAGTAGTAATTTGTATTAAATTTGCTTTTATTTGATCTTTAATAATTTTCTCCATTTTTATTGGGCAACTGTAGCCAACCTTAATTTTATTTCAATTTTGTGCTATTTATTATAGGGTGAGGAGTGTTAAATCAATAATTTGAAAAATGCTTTTCCAAGGTTAGTGGAAATACTTTTGATATATGGGGGTTGAAACAAATTATGTTTTTTTGACCTACTTTGCTTTTTTGCTTTCTTTTATTTAGGGTCCAATTTTAGTTTGAAATTTTGAATTATTATGAAAAACACTTTTGAAGAATTCATTTAATAATAAGTTTCAACATACTCCACAGATGTGTAAAATATTACAGAGTTAAAATATTTATGACTCCTTAAGATTTAATTTTTGGTATAAATTTATTAACACATTGTTTGCTGGTACATTTCACAGTGGCTTTGCAAGGATAAATAAAAGTAAATATATACACTATAACACATTAACACTATAACACATATAACACTATAACATATAAACACATATAAACACTTTATATAACTTGAGAGCCATATTTTCATTAATGAAAGTAAATATCTTTTTGCATAACAAGTATTTGTAAAGCCATGTTGATTTGCAGAGAGCATTTTATTATCGATAATGTGTTAAAAGATTTTGTTCTTCACAAGTATTTTGACTATTTTTCAGGCAACAGAGTAGTGAAAAGTATGATTTATATATATGTTTTTTTATAGACCATGCTAAAATTTGCTAATTATTAGAATTGAGTAATATTCCAGTACTTAATTTAATTTATTCCAGTAAATTTTGTAAATGGAAAAAATATTTATAGGGGTTTAGATTGGTAAGTTAATAATGTCTGAAATAGAAAAACCCAAATTGTCATTATAAGTTCATTAAGGTTAGTATCACTTTTTTAACAATGGAAATTATTCAGAGGGATGCTAATGTTATTTCTTTTTATGTTCTTTTTTTGCTTGTAATATTTCAGCTTTTTCAGAACAATTAGAAAATATTATTCTTCCATTTAGTTGAGCAGTTGATATACCAATCAGATGTTTTTGCTTGGTTTAGGTTTTTAATTTGCGGAGTAACTGCTTTTAATATGCGGAGTAACTGCTTTTAATATGCGGAGTAACTGCTTTTAATATGCGGAGTAACTGCTTTTAATATGCGGAGTAACTGCTTTTAATATGCGGAGTAACTGCTTTTAATATGCGGAGTAACTGCTTTTAATATGCAGAGTAACTGCTTTTAATATGCGGAGTAACTGCTTTTAATATGCGGAGTAACTGCTTTTAATATGCGGAGTAACTGCTTTTAATATGCGGAGTAACTGCTTTTAATATGCGGAGTAACTGCTTTTAATATGCGGAGTAACTGCTTTTAATATGCGGAGTAACTGCTTTTAATATGCGGAGTAAGGATCATACTTTTTTCTTTATTTTATTAACATTGGAGATAAAATATTTGTAAACACTACAATTGTTAGAAATTAATAAATAAGACATTTGATCCATGTTTTTATGCAGAAACTAAATAATTCAGTTGATTGATGCAATAAAGTTTGATATTGAATTGTTATCACCTTTACTGTAACTAAACAACTGAGATTCACTTTCAGAAAATGGTTTTGAAACTAAAACTCCTCAAGTGATACTAAAGTAGTTCTATTGTAAAATTTTACAATAGAACTACATCTGTAGGTAAATAACAAGTTCAGTATATGGTTTGAGCAACCATAGGGCGTCTGGACTTAGAAAATGTGATATGTTAAAATTACCAATAATGAAGCAGCCATCATAGGGCTTATTAATTAAGTTATGGGCTAATTTGAAGGATTCAGCAATATATTATATTAAATTAGCATCATT